GCTTCAATCTCTGGTTATAGCTCTAAGGTTTCTACACGTGTCAGTTTCTAAAGGATGCTTTTGATTTTCTTCTCATAGACAGCATGTTCTTCTCATGTTAGTTCAGGTGACTCCTAGGAATAATATAAGTGGTATCGCACTGAGCCGTGGGGTCGAACAATACGCATAGACTGCATGCTTCGGCCTTCACTTCTCTGTGTTGTAGTTGGGTGGTATTACAGCAGCACATGCTGTTTGTTTTCACACAGCAAATCGCAAACTTTGTTATATTCGAGATGTAAACGTTATTTCTGCGAAGCCTCGCGTGTCGCACGGCGTGTATTCACATGTTGATCCCGCCTTCGAATGGCGTATGTTGTTGTTTCTTATCGTCACAATATCCGCATTGATTTCAAGGTTTCTTATTGTGGAGCGATAATGTCGTGCACTGATATATTTAGTTGTTAATTATTCCTATATTTGGAATGGCAAATACCTCTCCAAAATAGCTTACATTGATCACGATAGGAAATGATCAATCACTCTGCGCAGTCATCATTACGCAGTCATTAATGGACGTGTAGAACACCGGCCCGTTTGTCATCACATGCGAGAAGTTCGTGTGTGAGAGACATGATTGCGATACGCTGCCATGGTGTGTTATTTATTAAAGAAGATCTAAATAAACCAGTATCAATGTTAAGCTGCAGGAAGGATGGATGTATCACTGGATGCTGGGGATGTCAGTTGCCGATGATTCCAAGGCTCACCCTCGCGACGTGCGTGACACAGATCGTGACTGGACTAGAACCACGTGACACAGACCATGACTGTACTAGAACCATGTGACACAGTTATAACTGGACTGGACAAAACTCATGTGACACAGGTCATGACTGTACTAGAACCACATGATACAGGTCATGACTGTATGATTAAACGAGAGCACAAGCACGTGAGACCCGTGAAGATCCGGGGTAGACTAGGTCTTCAGCAACCCATGCTTGCCGTAAAAGGCAACTATGCTTGTCCAAATAGGCGACTAACGGGATCGGGTGGTCAGGCTCGCTGACTTGGTTGATGTATATCATCGTAACCCAAATGCGTGGATCGATGCTCCTGGTGGTAATCACTGGATTGTCTGGTCCAGAGTCGATTATTTAGAGACCGCCATCATATAGCTGGAATATTGCTGAGTGCGGCGTTAAACAACAAAACCAACCAACCAACCAACCAACAAGCACGTGACACAAGATCATGACGTTCTACACATGAAAAGACGTAAATATATAAACGTGACTCAGATTATGACGTTCTACGCATCAATAGACGAGATTATAACCACGTGACACAGGTCATGACGTTCTACACATGACATGACGTGCATATAACCACGTGACGCGAGTCATGACGTTCTACAAATGACTAGACGTGAACATAACCACGTGACACAGGTCATGACGTTCTACACATGACTAGACGTGAATATAACCACGTGACACAGGTCATGACGTTCTAAACATGAAAAGACGTGAATATAACCACGTGACACAGGTCATGACCTTCTACACATGACTAGACGTGAATATAATCACGTGACACAGATCATGACGTTCTACACATGACTAGGCGTGAATATAACCACGTGACACAGATCATGACGTTCTACACATGACTAGACGTGAATATAACCACGTGACACAGATCATGACGTTCTACACATGACTAGACGTGAATATAACCACGTGGCACAGGTCATGACGTTCTACACATGACTAGACGTGAATATAACCACGTGACACAGGTCATGACGTTCTACAGAACGCAAAGTATGATATAAATAGATGAACAATATATGTATAACGTCTATCTTATATGTTGGGCATGTAAATTGACAATGCAAGAGAAAAATACAGCCTCGATTTTCTGCCGGAACAGATGCCACTTGGCGTAAAGGGCAAATAGCTGTCGAAAATATATGAATGGACCACTGAAAATGAGTGATGACACTAGGTGATCGAGAAAAGCGTAAGCATATCCTGCCCTACCGGTAGCACCCGCCATCATACAATTTGCACAAAAAAGTATTTATTGCCTGGCGCAGGTGTAACGCGTTATACAGATCCCATATCATGCAGTAAATACCAGGTGATACACATAGAGATAATGGGGGCCTTGGTTTTCAAGAATACATGGGCAATACAGAATAATATAAATCGGTCTCTAAAACTGGTCCCGTATGTCAAGCATTATTTTGTAACTGCTGCACTGGTTCTTTGACCTTCCGCGACGATGTTTGGAATCTGCTCCTATTGCTGATGGTGGGATTAAAGTACTGTGCTACCAGTATAGGATGAAGCGTGATGCCCCATGGTGCCTATATGACACACATGTATCACGTCGTCAATGTTGTAGCTGACTGACTTCGATAAGTGTGATGCGTTCAGGCTAATTGCTCTCCGGTTATCGGAACAATGCACTAATTAGCAGGCATATATCTTTGGATCAAAACAACCAGTTATGATATAAAGAATGCATGACTTGTCGCAGCCTAATAACTGTAGTTAATTAGTCTGACTGTTGAGAGGGTGTCTTGGGATCAGCTACACCGACGGAGGTTGGCGCTCTGTGGGGTACAGAGGGTGAAGCACGGTGAGGACGTGAAGGTGTGGTTGAGGAGTGGGGGTTGTTGAGGACGTGAAGAGACCTGATGGGTGGGGTAGCTGTTTGAGGGCGATGATAGAGGTGGGTTAGCTGTTTGAGAGCGATGATAGGTGTGGGGTAGCTGTTTAAAAGCGATGATAGAGGTGGGTTAGCTGTTTGAGAGCGATGATAGGTGTGGGGTAGCTGTTTAAAAGCGATGATAGAGGTGGGTTAGCTGTTTGAGAGCGATGATATGGGTGGGGTAGCTGTTTGAGAGCGATGATAGAGGTGGGGTAGCTGTTTGAGAGCGATGATAGTAGTGGGGTAGCTGTTTAAAAGCGATGATAGAGGTGGGTTAGCTGTTTGAAAGCGATGATATGGGTGGGGTACCTGTTTGAGAGCGATGATAGGGGTGGGGTGGCTGTTTGAGAGCGATGATAGGGGTGGGGTAGCTGCTCGATAGCGATGATAGGGGTGGGGTAGCTGCCTGAGAGCGATGATATGGGTGGGGTAACTGTTTGAGAGCGATGATAGGCATGAGGTGTGGAAGCCGGTTGAGAGAGCGGCATGAGGTGTGGAAGCTGGTGGAGAGAGTGGCGTGAGATGTGGAAACTAGTAGAGAGAGTTGCATGAGGTGTGGAAGCTGGTGGAGAGAGTGACTTAAAGTGTGGAAGCTGACGGAGAGAGTGGCGTGATGTGTGGAAGCTGGTGGAGAGAGTGGCATGAGATGTGGAAATTGATGGAGAGAACGGCATGATGTGTGGAAGCTGGTGGAGAGAGCGGCATGATGTGTGGAAGCTGGTGGAGAGAGCGGCATAAGGTGTGGAAGCTGGTGGAGAGAGCGGCATGATGTGTGGAAGCTGGTGGAGAGAGCGGCATGATGTGTGGAAGCTGGTGGAGAGAGCGGCATGATGTGTGGAAGCTGGTGGAGAGAGCGGCATGATGTGTGGAAGCTGGTGGAGAGAGCGGCATGATGTGTGGAAGCTAGTGGAGAGAGCGGCATGATGTGTGGAAGCTGGTGGAGAGAGCGGCATGATGTGTGGAAGATGGTGGAGAGAGCGGCATGATGTGTGGAAGCTGATTGAGAGAGCGGCATGATGTGTGGAAGCAGGTGGAGAGAGAGGCATTAGGTGCAGAGGATGGTTTGAGAAAGTGGCATGATGTGTGGAAGATGGTGGAGAGAGCGGCGTGAGGTGTGGAAGCTGTTGGGGAGAGTGGCATAAGGTTAGGAAGATGGTGGAAAGACTGACACAAGCTGTGAAAGATGTTGGAGAGAGTGACATTCTGTTGAAGCTGTTGCAGAGAGTGGCGTGAGGTGTGGAAGATGGCTGAGAGTATGACACGAGGTGCGGAGGCAGGCGGAGAGAGTGGCGTGAGGTGTGAAAGCTGGAGGAGAGAGTGGCATGAGATGCGGAAGCTGGTGGAGAGAGTGGCTGGAGAAGTGGAAGCTGTTGGAAAGAGTGATATGGGGTTGGCACGCGGGGAGGCGCAGTATGGTTGAGTTGAATGAATGAGACTGGGAAAGATCGATGGAGGATGGACATATGACGACATAGGGATGAAAAGAGGACACAAGAATGTTGCGATGCTACTTTTCACTTACAAACCGATTCACTGAAAAAACATCACAAATCATTTTGGCAAAATTTACGTTAAATTGTTTCAAACGAAAAGGTAATTGTCCGTAAAACATGAGATAGCTTCAGTTACTTAACACCCTCATATATACACTTCTGGATATTAATCATATAATGGGTAGGTTTCTCGACAGGATAAAGCCAAAGGATAAAAACTATATCATATATGGGTTCATATGCGGATAGAGATGCAATTACAAATAGGGACTACTTTCAGTGTTTACAAACAAACGGCGTAGCCTTTGTCAATTGACGATCGAGTCAGACTTAACCACCGGAAATCTGGAGAAACTACTGGGATAATTGCAGTTTTATCGAAATAGTAGTCTAAAGTACTGACAATCAGTGACTAACTGTCACGTAGATGAGGCATTTTACAAGTTTTGGTAACTTTGGAAATATAAATTGCGAAACAACTCGGCTAGTCTAGCGGGATCAGTTTCAATATCTGTGCTTGTAAACCCCTGGGGCTTGGAGCGGTTTCCCCAATTAAAACAGCTGGCTTTGGCCGAAAACTGTCGGAATTGTATCCTTGTTTCGTTTTGTCACTGTGTGTCCATTTGACTGCACTTCGTAACTGAACTTCGTTAATAGGAATAAACACTATGTATTTAGCTCGCAAAGGCTCGCGAAATTCAATGTATATTCCTAATACAGGATATTACCATCCCCAGACACTCTCGCGTGATAACCTCTATGTGTAGTGAACACGTCCTCTTACAGGATATCCGACTTTTTCAGCAATTGGCATAGATTACAACTGGTCGACGCCCGTCCCCCTGCCTAGCTTCTTCCCCTCCCCGACAAACTTCACCTACACCGAGGGGGACCTCGCCAGACTGGAGTGCGCCATCAACAATCTCAGTACCAAAAAGGTGAGTGAACAATGTCTTTAACATGATATGATAATGCGTAGTAGTTGCAACAGGTTCATTAAAACGCGGTACCAGATACCGTACACACTATGAGGTAGTAGACAACTGCACCGCTTGTGTTGCTTTCATAGTAATTTTCCGCACTTTTGAAACAAGAGACCAGTACTAATCCCAGTACTAAAAACTGACTGTCATAAAAACAACAACTACACAAGCGAAAAAAGCAATACGAATATCAGGCAAAACAGGAGTATATTTGATAACCAATACAACACAGAAGTGAGTGAGTGAGTATGGCTTTACGCCGCTTTTAGCAATATTCCAGCAATATTACGGCGGGGGACACCAGAAATGGGCTTCACACATTGTACCAATGTGGGGAATCGAACCCGTGTCTTCGGCGTGACGAGCGAACGCTTAAACCACTAGGCTACCCCACCGTCCCACAACACAGAAGCATGACATGATAATAAGGTCACTCGGCAGTTTCAATCGGAAATGATCATGACTCTTACAATAATCCTCATCGTGGGAATTCGTGTGACCTACCCGTGCCTTGGCACACGCATGCGCTCTCTGTTGCATCATGGTCATCAGTTTTCGCATGACGTCATGACGGATGCGTCGCCATTCCCCGTTAAGAGTTTGAATGAGCTCTTGGGGTGCGTGGTCCCACTCCGATTGAGATCATCCCAGAGATGCTCAATGGGCGATATGCCTGGGAAGCTGAGGTAGCAGGTTGAGTTCAGGAAGGGCTTACAGAACGTTCTGTGTGGAGTCTGAAGTGAAGTTATCCTGACACAGCAGGGACCCTGTAAGTCTGTGAACAACCGCCTGCAAACTCCTGGTCACAGTCGGTTCGTCCATAAACCAACGAATTTGCCACTGATGACGTCACTGCGAATAGGAAGTGCTTTACGAAAACGCGGTGTGCTTGATGTAGGTCTTCATCAAGCACAACCTGCACGTGACCTGTCTGATGTCTGACCTGTATTTCGGTACTGTGGAATCGGCATCGAAGGCAACAGAGGTTCTGTCCATCCGTATCCCCTAGCCGGCTCCCTGGTCTCCTGTCCGTCTTGTCACTCCGGCCGAGTCATGAAAGTGTATGCCATGGTGCAATTCAAGCACACACGGGGTATACGCATTTCCGCTCTTCACACACAAATCATGCATCAGAGATATCACGTTCGGTGGACAGTGAGGGCGTGTTGGGGCTGTGGTTCTGCATTTGCTTACAGTCGATTGTGTCAGTTAATGTCTGAGCATCAATCATAATAACTTTTCATCCAGCCATTAGTATAGATCATTAATGTATTTACACAGCACGGGGTGGGGTATCGATTAGGGTTTGCCAGTGTCTGTACCGGGGTCGTACACTATTACTATGTCCGCCACAGAGTACTTGTATCTTATATTTACCGAGATAATGAAAAGTTGATTATTGCTGACCTGAATGGGAGGCTGAAGTAGACTCATGTGGTGACGCATTACAATGGCGCAATCTCTTAGCAATTATATAACACCACCCCAAAGATAGATGCTCGTATGCCCATCGTGAACCATGTCATTGAGAAATAGATATGTATAATGTTATAGGTATTGGATATGCAATTAAATAGCCCACGCATATTTTCTTTGGTACCCACTATAATATTTTACCTTTTCTTACTCCCCTGAATCCAGTTAAGACATGTTTCATCTGGAGCCATCTAGGATGTCTAATTTACATGATGGCCGCTTTGCAACAAGGAATAGGAGATATCTTGTTCACCTACTACTGTTTAGCTCATTACGATGCCCCCGTGTTCGGTATGTAGTGAAACAGGACATTGTAGTGTTAGGTGGTGTTTATTTCATGTTGGACCCAGATCAGTCTGACTTTTGACTCGGGCATGGTAGCTAGTATAACGTACTCGCTTGTTGACGAGCTCCCATCTGTCAAGTACCTTGCCTTCAGGGAGTGGAAGGCTCTTTCAAACTAACCCCAGTTAGCTGGATGTATTTCCGCTTTCACATGCTTGTTTGTGATGCTGAGACGTGTTTGTGCAGCAAATGTCAAAGCAGGGCCCATCTGGGAAATGTAAACTGCCGGCGAAAAAAATAATCACACACTCAAAATTGGATTTGATCAAATAATAACAGACGCTATCAATGCGTTATTAGGCTGAAAAACTCGCCCAAACACTGCAAACTTAAGGTCCCAAAATACAACTATGATGCCCGTAACATGCATCACTATCGAATAGCTATTTCTCGTTTGTTCCATTCTTAGCAACCATTAAACATGGGTTTATAGGTTAATAACATGGGTGTATAGGGTGTAGAGGGTAATAACATGGATGTATAGGGTGTAGAGGGTAATAACATGGGTGTATAGGGTGGAGAGGATAATAACATGGGTGTATAGGGTGGAGAGGGTAATAACATGGGTGTATAGGGTGTAGAGGGTAATAACATGGATGTATAGGGTGTAGAGGGTAATAACATGGGTGTATAGGGTGTGGAGGGAAATAACATGGATGTATAGGGTGTGGAGGGTAATAACATGGGTGTATAGGGTGTAGAGGGTAATAACATGGGTGTATAGGGTGTAGAGGGTAATAACATGGGTGTATAGGGTGTAGAGGGTAATAACGTGGTTGTATAGGGTGTAGAGGGTAATAACATGGGTGTATAGGGTGTAGAGGGTAATAGCATGAATGTATAGGGTGTAGAGGGTAATAACATGGGTGTATAGGGTGTAGAGGGTAATAACATGGGTGTATAGGGTGGAGAGGGTAATAACATGGGTGTATAGGGTGTAGAGGGTAATAACATGGGTGTATAGGGTGTGGAGGGAAATAACATGGATGTATAGGGTGTGGAGGGTAATAACATGGGTGTATAGGGTGTAGAGGGTAATAACATGGGTGTATAGGGTGTAGAGGGTAATAACATGGGTGTATAGGGTGTAGAGGGTAATAACATGGGTGTATAGGGTGGAGAGGGTAATAACGTGGTTGTATAGGGTGTAGAGGGTAATAACATGGGTGTATAGGGTGTAGAGGGTAATAACATGGGTGTATAGGGTGTAGAGGGTAATACCATGGGTGTATAGGGTGTAGAGGGTAATAACATGGGTGTTTGGGTGTAGAGGGTAATAACATGGGTGTATAGGGTGTAGAGGGTAATAACATGGGTGTATAGGGTGTAGAGGGTAATAACATGGGTGTATAGGGTGGAGAGGGTAATAACATGGGTGTATAGGGTGTAGAGGGTAATAACATGGGTGTATAGGGTGTAGAGGGTAATAACATGGGTGTATAGGGTGGAGAGGGTAATGACGTGGTTGTATAGGGTGTAGAGGGTAATAACATGGGTGTATAGGGTGTGGAGGTAAATAACATGGGTGTGTAGGGTGTAGAGGGTAATAACATGGGTGTATAGGGTGTAGAGGGTAATAACATGGGTGTATAGGGTGTAGAGGGTAATAACATGGGTGTATAGGGTGTAGAGGTTAATAACATGGGTGTATAGGGTGTGGAGGGTAATAACATGGGTGTATAGGGTGTAGAGGGTAATAACGACTGAACTGCCTGGACGTCCTCCTGTAAAACATTAGTCTATCACCAACTGAATGGATGTTGATTAAAGACACCACCGCCACCATGAAGATGTTCTTGGTATGTGTGATCCTGCATCATGCTCACTAAACAGATCATTCACAATGGTAATACGTAATGCCTAGGACTGTTGATAGCAGAGTCTATTGTACTATTCCGACTATATCATAAGTATGTGCAATGAATCACCATGAAATAGGTGTATTAAATAAGGTGTCTACGAAAAGGCAGCGTATCCTGCCCGACCGGTGGCATTCGTCTCTGTGTCTCTCTGTCTCTCTCTCTCTCTCTCTCTCTCTCTCTCTCTCTCTCGCTCTCTCTCTCTCTCTCTCTCTCTCTCTCTCTCTCTCTCTCTGTATATATATATATATATATATATATATACATGTGATGTCAACAAATTGTGGTACTTGGTTTTCAAGAAGTGAAAAGCTATTCAAACATATACATTCTTGCCTATAGAGTCAAAGTGCCTATAGAGTTTCGCTATGTATTGCAGATTGGTTTTTGAAAATAATTACATGACATTATCTTTGTAGCATTGTAATAACTAATTATCTCATGCTGTATTTGTTCAAAATGTGTTCAAAATGTTTTGTTATGAAAAGTCCAATATTCAATGGGTTGTTAGTTTGCCTTTTCTCTGTTCAAATCAATGGTTCCTTCCACAACTGTATTTTGTCCAAATGTACAGTTTCTCCCCAAACTTTCTTACATATTCACACTCATATAACGTTTAGATTTAAGGTTGATTTGTACAGAAAGTACACAAAGGATAATCCAATTTGATATAAATATTTGTTAGTTTTAAGAACTTAATGAATAATCTTAAACTGAAACCATCTAATATCTTCACTTTGAGTACATCTTTTTGACAGTTCGTTTGACTAATTTATTTAGTAAACCTTCACATTTTGCAATGCCATGAAATTTAACAAACTTCGCTGCTGATAAAGGCTTGTAAAATTCTTTACTACCTATATTTTGTTTTAGCCGATGTGAGTTATTTAATGGCATGGTTAGTCGAGGAGATATAGATTTGAAAACATTAATTTGTCAAAAATTGGCCATTTGCTGGTTATTGATATGAGTATTGATTTTTCATATAGCTGAGGCTTACGGCAAACCTCTTGGCCAAATCCAAACAGAAATGACATGTGTAGTTCAATCAGGTTCAATTAATGCTTAACGCGGTGATGATGATGGAAGAAAACAATTACCCCACTGACACAGTCACAAATACCCGACTGACACACCTACAAATACCTCACTGGCACACCTAAAAATACCCCACTGACACAGCTACACATGCTCCACTGACACAGCTACAAATACCCCACTCACACAGCTACAAATACCCTACTGACACAGCTACAAATACCCCACTGACACAGC